TTTTTTTTTTTATAAGACATTACTTCCTCTGTCTAAAAAATAATTGTTGTTTTTTTTGGCTTTTTTTCTAAATTAAAGATTTGGAGAGAATTTATAAGTTTATATACAATACTCTTAAAAAAGAAATAAAATATAAAAGGATATTTTTTGTGATTTGATAATTAGGTAAAATGAATGGATAACAATAATGTTAAAATAAAAAAATATTTGTTTACCTTCAAAAAAAAAAGATAATTAGGGACAAGTTTAGAATAAAAAAAATGACATTTATTTTGAGAAAAAGAGAGTAAATGCTAATATTTCAATTTTTTTTTGGTTTTCCGTCCGGTATCTGGGACTTCGTCCCGACTAATCCAGATCGAACCGCGTCACGCACTTGAAAATGGTGGGTGAGTATCCCAACAAAAACTGCTGCGTACACAAGACCTCGAACACGAGATCTTGTTTAAACTGGAACAAGTCGCTTATCATTTGATCCAACCTCTCATTGATGCTAATATTTTAATTTTACCTTATAAGTAAAAGTGAATATAAAATGATAAATCCTAATTGTTATACTCCCTTTGTCCTCAAATATTATCATTTTTTCACTTTAAGTTTATCTTAAATTAATTGTCATTTTTCTAATTTTTTAAAGTAAATAATTTTTTTATATATTTTAACCTTATTATTATCCATTTATTTTGATTAATTATCTTATCACAAAAAATCTTACTTTATTTATTTAAAAAGATAATATAAATAAACATATACATGACTCCTAAATTCTTAATTTGAAGAAAGAAATAAAATAAATAATTATTATGAGATAGAAGCCGTAAATGAACTCTTAGTAATTGGGTTGGCTACAAGAACCATCCTTAAGCATATGAGGTATGCTGGCTTACGGTAGCAGGAAAATATTCCCTGCTTCTATATATATTCAAAAAAAAAAAAAAAAAACATTGTATTAGGCTATTCAATACACTATAATTGAGGGTTGTTATCGTTAGATGATATGTAAATGGGTAGGAGTACTATTTAAATTTCACTTAATAAAATTATTGTTTTAAAAAAAATTAAGATAATTAAATTAGATCATAGGAGGTAAGATGACTTTTCCTCTAATTAAATTTAATAAATTTAATTTTTTTCAATAATATAAGAATGTAATAATTAATTGATAAAATTTTATATTTATTTTTAATTAATTATTACTTAAATAAATTTTTTATTTAATTTATATTGTAATTATTTTTAAAAATAAAAATAAAATAACATAACCACAAATATTAAATAATATTTTAAAAACGAAGATAAAAATTAGGCATTGTAAAGTTAAAGTTAGGGAGTAATGTGCAAATGATAAAGCAACAGTTAAAACTTCTGGTATTTCGTTTTATATATAAATAAAGAAGGTGGAAAATGAAAAAGAAATACTGAAGATTCCATGTGCACCAGTACGTTGGAAAAAGTTCACGTTTTCCCATTTCTTTTTTTTCTTTTTTCTTTTTTTTCCGAGATTGACAAACAAATCCTCACCAGAAATGATTTATAGTAATAAATTCATCATAAACAACCCCTCCTGATATAATTCACCTTATACTACTATTTTCTTGTCATCAGGCTGTAATTGCCGAAGCAGTCCTCTGCTGAAGGAAGGCTCCAGGGAGGCCATGGCGGCAGCTGCAGTTCCTGAAGATGGAGAATTCGGCGTGGTTGCATCGTATTCAGGGGAGGAAGATAAGGAGAGGATCAATGAAGGCAATCGGAGTTTTGGAGGGAAACGGTGGCCAAAGCAGGAGACTCTGGCCTTATTGAAGATACGTTCCGATATGGATGCCGCCTTTAGCGACTCATGTCTTAAACGTCCGTTGTGGGAGGAAGTTTCCCGGTGAGCACACTTAATTCCCTGCCGGCAGACTTGAAATTCTCATCGAATTCATGAAAGAATTTATTACCAGATTTGATTTTATTTGACTGATTTTCGAGTTTCAAGCTACTTTTTATACACAGAGGCTTCTTCTCTCCGGCATGCATTTACGTAATTCTAAGCTCCTTATATGCACCGGAGTTTTGTTTTTCCAGAGATTGAATTGTGATCTATTGAGATTCAGTCCTGTGTCACTTCATTTCTCTTAAAAGAACTGGATTTACTCTAGATTTAGTAATATAGACAATTTCATGTGGCCTAGTTGGGTTGATTTACTTTTATTTTTTATTTTTGTTTCACTTTCTTCTTATTCTTGTTTAAATAATCATTGTCCGGATGATTCTTAATTCATGTGACAAAGTATGGTTTTTTCTATTCTTTTGCCGAATTAGAGAGATGGATGGGAATAAAAATATAAATTAATGTTTTTTTTTTCGTTTTTTATCAGGAAATTAGCAGAGCTTGGTTATAATCGAAGTGCCAAGAAATGCAAGGAGAAATTCGAGAATGTGTACAAGTACCACAAGAGAACCAAAGATTGTCGAACTGGGAAATCAGAATCCAAGACTTACAAGTTTTTCGATCACTTGGAAGCTCTCCATAATCTCCACTCAAACCAGAACCCATCGCCGCCAAAGCCTCAAACACCTATGACAACCACCATAGCAGCGCTGGCGCCCTGGACTAATACTCCGGCCAGTACCACAGTCCCTAATATCAATATTGTGGCTAAGCCAATAAACCCTACACCAATTCCTCAAAACATCATAAACCCTACAAATACTAATCCAAACACTGTTCCCTATTCTTTCAATAGCAATATTTCATCCAATCCTTTCTCGACTTCATCATCTTCTTCAACAGCGTCTGAAGAATCCGGGGGGAGGAGTAAGATCAGGAAGAGAAAATGGAAGGATTTCTTCAAGAGGATGACGAAGGAGGTGATTGAGAAACAAGAAGAGCTGCAAAGGAAGTTTCTGAAAGCAGTGGAGAAGCAGGAAAATGAAAGAATGATGCGAGAAGAGTCATGGAGGATTCAAGAGATGGCTAGGATAAATCGAGAGCACCAGATTTTAGTCCAAGAACGATGCATGGTGGCTGCAAAGGATACCGCCATCATTGCATGCTTGGAAAAGATATCAGGACAGCAAAATGCTAACACCCTGGAAAATTTGCAAGTGAGTCTCCAACAACCTCCAACAGTACTGCAGCTGCCAGTGCCACTTCAACAGCAGGTCCAAACATTACCACCGCAGCCTCCATCTCCGAGTAATGTTGTCAATGCAGTGGTGTCGAGTCCTTCTAGATGGCCAAGAGCGGAAGTTGATGCTTTAATAAAGCTGAGAAACGGTCTGGATACAAAATATCAGGACGAACCAAAGGCACCGCTGTGGGAGGAGATCTCCGCGGGGATGAGGAGGATGGGGTACAACCGAAGTGCGAAGCGGTGCAAAGAGAAATGGGAGAATATCAACAAGTACTTTAAGAGAATGAAGGAGAGCAATAAGAAGAGGCCTGAGCACTCGAAGACATGTCCGTACTTTCACCAGCTAGACGCCATTTACAGAGAGAAGAGCAAGAACTTGATGAAGCCTGATAATACTACGGTGCCATTGTTGGTCCGCCCAGAGAGGCAATGGCCTCCTCAGCCGGAACCTGTCGGAGAGGATTTAGATAATGAAAGGGAGAACGATCTGAATTTTGACATCTTGCGGCAAGGAGAAACTGAAGAGGAAGAGGATGGAGGAAATGGTACGAATGGCAGTGGTAAAACGAAAAATGGGGAAGCTTCTTGATGGAAGCTGACATAGAATGGGATTGAAACTGTTGAGGGGATATAATAATTTTTTATTCCAAAATCTTGAATTTTATTCAAAAAGGGAAAAATCATCAGTTTTTTGTGTGGTTTGTGTGTGCTTGCCATTGATGGTGATGTCCAAAAGGTTTGCCGCCTTGCCGGGGCCAGAAGTTGGTGGAAGAGGAGATGAGTTAGACGAGGAGCTGGATGAGATCCAATCTGGGTGGTGCATTGCATCAAACACATATTATTCCATGCACATGGTGCAGTTTATGCTACAATTCTCAGTGGGAAGTAACTGTTTCTTTTCCTTTTACTGTAGTTTATCTACCAAACTTCTAAAAAATTAAGAGTTAAAACAGTATAAAATTGTGTTTTAATAAAATTTTATGAGAAAAGATAAAAAAAAGTCTCAATTTTATTTTAAAACTGAAGTATTTTAGTCTTCTTTTTTTTTTTTAATGTAATCCAGTTTGTTAAGACAATTTGACTTTGAGGTGTTTATTTTTTAGTAATAATATAAAGACAATTTTTTTATATAACTTTTACTCGTGAATGCATATAATATTACCTTCCTCGAATAGTAATAGAAATTGTGTTGTGGATGGATTATTCTGTTCTTCCTGTTGTATACTCTCTGTTATTCACCAATGTTTTATTTGGGTCTCAGAATATGGCATATTACAAAATATCACATGTTGATGGTCGGATTAGAAATCCTGAACAAAGAACCTTATCATTATCCATTTACTTCAATTAATCATCTTATTATAAAAAGTTTCTTTTTATTTTTTGTTTCATTTTTATGATAATATAGATAAATACTCCATCTATTCAAAAAAAAAAAAAAGGAACTGTTTTAAAGATTTATAAATAATTTATATGTTTTGCTACATTAGCTTTAAAAAAAATAAAAGATAAACATGGATTTTTTGTAATAAAACAAATAATTAAAGTAAACAAAGAATAATAGAGTAATTAAAGTTAGAAAAAAATCTTTGTTTATTTTAAAAAATAAAAAATGACAATTAATTTAAAATATTTAATTTAAAAAGCAAAAAATAGCAATTATTTTAAAAATATAAAGAGCATTAATTTATTGGTTAAAATACAAACAAAAGTGGGTTTGGAGGGAGGGGTCAATTTGCAAAATCATAATAATAATATAATATTTTGCTGTACAGCCTATGAAATTATAACCCTTAATGAATAAGACTAATATTGGGTTCCACTTATGCAGGACCGAGTGTGGATTGGACTGCAATTAAGTTATAGGAGTATATTGTTAGAAGATAGCAGTTTTTAGCCCTTAGGATTTGATTTATTGATAAATAAATATTATTTTATAAGTTAAGTTTAAAATTTAAGTTTCAGGATTAATACCTTAAGAAATTAATTTTTTTAAATATACTAAATTGATGTAAAATATGTCATTAAAATCATTTAAAAAGAAATTAATTTTAAAAAGCACAAAACTTAACCTACAAACATCCTAACTATAAATAAGTAAATACAATTTGATAGCATTTTCTTTCACTAAATTTTTTCACCGTCTAAAGCTTTGTGCCGAAGAAAAATTAATCCAAGCTCTAAATATTGGGATATATATATCAAAAATAATATTTAAATGGATTAATTTTTTTCCCTTTTTTTTCCTTAGCGGAAAATTAGTGTAAAATGGTAAATGTGGGAACGGACCGTACTGAGAAGATAAAGTTACATGTATGCTTGCCACTAACAAGAAATGGTTGGACTTCAAGGGTTAGATCTTCATTTATAAGTAAATGGTATTTTATAAAATAGATTTATAACTTAGGGTTTGGAGTAGTATATAAAAAA